CGCCTCACTATTTGCTCTCTTTTTTTATTGTCATCCTTGTATTTCTATTGTGGTAGATCATAGCCTATACTGACAAAGCCTGGCATATCGCCACGAGACGCGGCCGCCGAAAGTGGAAAGGTAGAGTGGCAGACAACGGATATGAGGGGAGAGGGCATGTAACGGGCGCCCCGCTGCGGCGAGACGCCGAAACACACTTGTCCCGAGGGATGGGATGTCCGCTCGTGCTTCTTGCGTTCTTCGCGCTACCGCTTCTTTTCTCGTCGGGTTTGAAAACCATGTTTCAGGTCCTCGCCGCTGCAAAAGCTTGACGCTGACTAGAGGCTCCTCGAGAAATACTCTGTGCTACCAGATCCTCGTGCTCTAAACTTGCGACCGGACGCTCTATGGCTCCGTCGTCGAACTACAAGGCTTTGCTATGGGTAGATCCATGGATGTCACAATCATCCAGGTTGTAAAAGACAGCGAGCTCACGGTGCTTCCAAAGAAAAGAAAACGAATAAAGCTCCGCAGAGCCGAGCCCGTTGAGCGCGCCAGCTCGCGCTATCGCGTTATCTGAAAAACCGGCCAATAAAAGAGAAAGATGCCTCTTGTCTAAGCCAGGCTCTGCTAAGCTACGCTAAGCTAAGCGCTAAGCGCAGCTCATATAAATGAGCTACGCTTAGAGTATCGGCACTCTGTTCCCCGACATTGTTGTGGGCAGAGCAGGCGCAACTGCCGATCGCATGATTCAAAAGTGCGACTTCCTCAGCATGAGATTCGGAGTTAGGAAGCTCATGTAATACTTCGTCGCGAACCGTTTAAACATTTGTGGAGGACGGAAATGCGTTTCCTGTGATTTCAGATAAAGCTTCAGATAACTGGCAACCACGATTTTAAACCACAGTATGGCCAAGTGTCGTTACTCTGAAGCGTAGATTATTTAGTGGCACTATAGTCTAGGCTATACTCCGTCTTCAGCTCCGCCTTCAGCGCGAGCTCGCTGGCTTCCGAAGTGCTTTGGTTGCGCGTGCCTGCGCGTTCACACTTCTGCTAGCAAGGGCAGAAAGCTCGCGCTGAATGCGGAGCTTCTAGTCTCAGCTTAAAGGGATACTCCAACGAAATTTGAAATATACCCGTCGTGTTGAAAACTTCAATTTTCCCGCTAAATCTAGAGGGGAAGCTGAATTAGTGTATAGGTCACCTGGCACGAAGTCAAGAGACGTCATTTTTCCTGCTAAATTTAGCGTGGAAATTGAATTGGCGTTGAGGGCACGTGACGCCAATTTTCCGCTAAATCTAGCGGGGAAACTGAATTTACGTATAGGTCACGTGACCATGTCACCCTTTTCGCTAAATTTAGCGGGAAAGCTGATGTTGTGTATAGGTCACGTGACCATGTCACTCTTATCGCTAAATTTAGCGGGAAAGCTGATGTTCTGTATAGGTCACGTGACACGAAGCCATGTGACGTCATTTTCCCCGCTAAATTTAGCGCAGTTGTTTCCGGTTACGCTTTTTGAGGCTTCACTTCACTTGAACGAATTTTCCCATTAATGCGGAAAATTAAGACATACGCAGGTGCGTTTGAAACTAGATATGTTATCTCATTAAGACGCACACGTTCCAAACGCCCAATTATCGCATCTTTTCATTTTATTTATTATTCCCTCGGGGCCCGAAGGCATTACAGAGAGGAGTGGCCGGTTATTTAAAACACATAAGTGTAACATAGATGAGTGAGAAAGAAAAAAAAAAAAACGCGCTACGCAACATCTGTTAAAAGGTAATAACAACACTTTTGAAATCAACAGTGTTAGTTATTGAGACTATATCTGCGGGAAGGCGATTCCAACCAATGGAGGTCCGGGGTAGAAAAGAGACATTAAACGTGGAGGTGCTGCAATGGGGAATATCCCTACCTTTGGGCCATGGTCTACACGTGATAATATGTACGATGGTTCTAAAAACAGTGCTTGAAGGAGAGTGGGGTTAGAGTGACAAATCTCGTAAAATAAACGTTGACAAGATTTTTTTTTTTTTTTTTTTTAAAGAGAGATCAGGCAAGGAAAGGGACGACTTCATGGAAGTTACACTGGCTGTGCGATGAGAGTTGAAAAGTATGAAACTGGCGGAACGATAGATTCGACGGCTGATGCAAGGGTGATACCGGGGTTCCAGATAGAAACTGCACATACAAGTTTAGGTAACGAAACTGGGGCAAGCGAAAAGTTACGTTTGAGATAGCCCAGAAGTCGATTTCCTCCGATACCCAAATCTTGTAATAGCTACCTCACGCGGCGTATGAACAATACACAAAACTTGCTTTTTTCTTGAGGTGCCAACGAGTATAGTGTTGATGACAAGGCGCAAGTGTGTAACCGAGGCTTCGGTTGCACTCTTAGAAACGTGAGCGATCTAAATGAATCCACAGACCTCCACTCGAGGGTCAGGTTCGCAAATGCCCTAAACTTATTGTAATGTTTCCCTAGAAAGACGTTCTAAGATTTCTAACTCCGCTGGTGCTCGCTCGCGCTTATTTATTGTGAATCTGAGTGCAGATGACTTTTGAGTATAAACCGTAAAGCGTAGCTTTCCAGAGGTTGCCTCGCATGCACGGAAGGGAACAACAGTGCTTTCTTAAAGATATGTGCTCAGTGGCGAGGTGTAAGCCCCATTGCCCCAGAACCAGGAATTCGTTGATACCGGAAGCGTGCTCACGGTGAGCGCGCCGTGCACAAGAAACGCCGCTGGGCAGAATCTTAAGTAACGCCTTAAAAATGGCCTTTCTCCGACTGCTGCGAAGCAGCATAGATGAAGGGACTTTATGTAACTCCACGTAACTCCAACGTGAGGCGCACTAGACACGTATAAAACCTTAAAATAAGAAAAAAAGATAACAATTAGTAATAGATTACGCACGCAACGAAGCCGAAAAAACTTCGCTTCTGCGTCCGATGCACAAGCTAAAAAAAGTAAAACTAAGTTTCCAGACCGTCGTGACCTTGATATTACTTTGGATCCCCATTTTACAGTGCATCCGTTCCTGACTGATGTTGATTTCAGCGGAGAAACTGCCCATTAAGAAGAAGGATCGCAGAGGTGAAAATTGTCTCAAAACGCGCAAGAAAAAGGTCCAAAAAAAAAAAAAGAAAAACAACAGGGTGGATAGAGGAAAGATGATGCCGCCGTGCGACAACGGACGAGCGGGAAGAGCGAGAATACAGGAAACCAAGGCACTTTAAAAAGATAAGGAAAAATACGCAGAAAAAGAGTAAACGTAAAAAGAAGACAGAGAGAGGGGGGTGTTAAAAAAGGAAGAGAAAAAATAAAGAGCCGGCTAAGTCAAGTCACGCAAATTCCTGAACTCCAGCAGTAGGTGGCCGGTCGGCAGGGCAGCATTGGAGCAGCGAGCGGTCTCCGCGTAGCCTGCGGCTGTGGAAGACTGGGTCAAGGGACCCTCCTCCCAGCCAGCGGTTATTGATGGTGCAGCCTCCTCCTTGTCCGCGCTCGGGCCTTCGGGCAACGTACAAAGAAAACAAAACCTGTCGTACGTTGCACCGCCAGAAGCTATACGGTGGTGGCGGGAGGCCCGGGAGGGGCCAGGTTAGCGAGGACGTGCCCGTTCGAACCACGCACCTCTTCTGTCGACTCGACAGGAGAGCTAGCCTCACACTCGCCTACCTGGCACCCGCTAAAGATCAGGTTTTAACACCCTTGGAACTGGAAAAGAACGACGCGCGCTGCAGGTGGGGGTAATACGCGTGCAAACAAAATTCGCAAAAATTGGACTGAGCCGCTAAAATGGCTGCCTTCAATATGACGGCACTCTCAGGGATGTGATTTGTTGGAGTCGATTCGGAGCACCACCTGAAGCAACCAAAAAGTTGATTTTGAAGCAGACAAAACATATATTATTGCCGCTCAAGCATCTTCTCATTCAGTCCATTGCGAATCAAATGTTACAATTCACCAGTCGGCCTGTCCACTAAAAATACAGTGCTTGTTTGTCTTTCCACTTCAGTGCACCCACTCGAGCATATATTGCAGAACATAATTAAGTTTCAAGGTAATTTAAATGTGTGCATCAATGAAATATTACATGTAGAGATTTATGATGGCGCAAACTCAGCACGTGGACGATAAAAAAATCCTTAAAACTACAGCTGAATTAAACAATATATTCCCAACCTATCATTCCACTGCTAAAGATGTTTCAATAAATACTTTATTGACTGCGTCTAGAAACGCTTGAATACTTAGAAGTGTTAATTAAACATGAAAGTGAAACCTATAGCGCAGATGAGCTGGAGCTATTCAATGTGATTCATTAAACATTGTTCGATATCCGATACTTCCTTAAATCTCAAATGTAAAAACAAAACAAAACAGGAACACGATTAATGAAGCACGTAACTTGTCAGGACGTCACAGTGTATCACACTGACTAACCGTAGTTTTATGCAACGTGTGTGACGCCACTTGACATAAGCATTCGCCGCTTGCGTAGCTTCCCTGCAGTGCTCCAAGGAGTGGGGAGAAGCGCACTCAACGAAGCTGATTAAACCGCCCAAACGGACCACACACAATGAGAAATATGACCAAACTTCCGAGTCCTGAGTCACGTTCGACACGAAGAACAGATCATATTACGGGCTGTTCTACACGACAACCTAAATTTGTGAAAATTCGCGCAAGCTTGCTGTAGCCATCTGTGGAAGCATTATTGGTGCAAATTCCCCAGCAGGGTAGGCACGATGGAAGAGCAATCATATTACATCCTTGTGATATCTGGGTGTACTGCGGTACAGATTACTACCTGTCGAGAACGAGGAAGCGGTGTTAAAGTTCATACGATATGGATGAGGCATACACGTGGGCCAGAATGTTTACGCCTGTCTACGGCAATAAAGCCTGGAGTAACGTTCAAACGCAGATGTTATTCCCATACTGACATAAACTAATATACTTTAGGAGAAAATGGTATGCGTATATAGTCGTTTCAAAAAGTCTACAAAACCATGTCAATCTACGGCGCTTTACCGAAGCAAGCAACGTATGTTCCAACAACTTACTTGTGCTTGTGGTTATTTGTCCGCTGCTGCTGCGAATACATTCCTATCTGTGTAATACCGACGTCTACCATATTGACTTTTTTACTGTGAATTGACTTACGCTGCATTTCTGTTGTCAGAGGTTTACCGCCCATTAAACGACGCACGATTTGCTCTTCTTTTCAGGCTGTGCTGGCGGGCGATGCAGAGCAGAAGGCAGCCGATCAGCAGCAGGGAGCTAAAGATTCACTGGGGGAGGCGTCTTCGGATATCGAGACGAAGGTCAGCCCGGACGGGGCGGACAAGGTGTTCCAGCAGCCCCACTACCACCAGGGAGGAGGTTACCCCTTGGACGGCATCCCGATACCCGTGCACCAGATCCCCATTCAAAGCGGCCACATCATCCTGCCGCAGCTCCTCAATAACGGACTCCAACAGGGCCCCATCCACTTGTCCCAGTGGGAGAGCAACAAGAAGCCTCCACAGCCTGTGTTCGATCACCAACAGGGCCACATTCCTGTCGTCGCCTATCCGGACATCCACCACCAGCCAACGCAGGTGGTCCATCACGGGGGAGGTCAATTGGCACAGGAGGAATCACCTCAGCACCACCAGTACATCGAGAACCACAACGTACACCCCCAGACGGATCACGGTTCACATGACGCGTGGCCACTGCCTCAGCCAGAGGTGCCCAAGATTGTTCACCTGGACGTCAAGTGCGAAAAGAATCTCATGAAGGTCGTGGTGGAGTTCGACACGCCCTTTCACGGAATCATCTTTAGCAAGGGTCATTACAGCTACGGCAGCTGCGTACACTTGCCCGCTGGATCCGGTCGCAAGAGTGTCTACTTCGACGTGTCGATCAACAGCTGCGGAACCATTGGAAATACACAGAACGGTCTGTATGGCCACGACGGCGGGACCTCAGGGACCGGAAGCTTCTTTGAGAATACCATCATCGTTCAGTACGACCCCCAGGTACAGGAGGTTTGGGACCAGGCACGAAAACTGCGCTGTACATGGCATAACAACTACGAAAAAGCGGTCACTTTCAGACCGTTTCCAGTGGACATGCTCGACGTGGTGCGCGCAGACTTTGCGGGCGACAACGTCGGTTGCTGGATGCAGATCCAGGCAGGTAAAGGGCCGTGGGCGAGCGAAGTAGCGGGCATCGTAAAAATCGGACAGACCATGACAATGGTGCTAGCAATCAAAGACGACGAGAATAAATTCGATATGCTCGTTCGGAACTGCATCGCGCACGACGGACAGCGGGCACCGATTGAGCTCGTGGACAGTCAAGGCTGCGTGGTGCGATCAAAATTGATGAGCAGGTTCACCAAGATCCGGAACTTTGGTTCTAGCGCCACAGTGTTGTCCTACGCGCATTTTCAGGCGTTCAAGTTTCCGGACACTATGGAGGTGCATTTTCAGTGCACCATCCAGATCTGCCGCTACCAATGCCCGGACCAGTGCTCCGCGCAAGCTGCCGTTGACTCGTCGGCTTCCGACCGGCAGGTGCTCTACTCCAACCACGTGTCTCCACCAGCAGGGCGGCCCAGGGAGGAACGAGACGTGTCCATCGACGAGGAACTGGACGACGAGGAGATGGCCGAAATCGGCGTCAATCGGGTCATCCGTGTCGTTTCCGCTGGAGACTTAGCATTTAGTCTCGGCTCCAATGACACCCACGCGGCACGCATGATCAGAGAAGAGCACGAGAGCTCGGTAATCTGCATGTCTGCGCCAGGATTTGCGTCCGCGCTTGTCGTATTGCTGTCGATTCTCGTTATAGCGTGTCTGTTGTCCGCATTTCTCTGGGTCAAGCAGAAGACAGCGTCAAGGTTTCCCAAGGGTTTTCCTTACGATCTGCCTGTATTCAAGAAGGGAAAGCTCTAAAACGAGATCTGCCGTATTTATTTTTACAGAACTGCCACACCCCGAACTAAATCCCACAGAAATGAATGTACATGACGGTGACGTCCGGAACGTGTTGATGGAACGCATTCGTTTGCTTCGCTAATTTTTTCACACACCTGAGCGAATCTTGGCAAGAAAAAGTGGTGCATTATTGGGTAAGCTTTCATGTTGTCTGTTGGTTTTGGTCATAGGACAATTGAATGCACTCTGTCAGCATGTTCAAGGAACATCCAATGTTCACGTTCAGCAGGACAAAGGCCGCGAGAATACCTCCTGTTGCTGAACTACGTGCATTCCATTCCAGCACCTTGCGGCAAGGTAAATAAGCAAATCCGTTTCCAGCAATGTTTATCGAATCTTATGCAGAGTACATGCTGGGAATGACGTCACACAAGTGATCGGTGAGCATGACGTCTAACGCAGGCTTTAGGAACGGCAAATTTGAGTTATCATGGAAGTGGCTTTATAAAACTCGCCGTTTCATTTGGGGTCATGAAATACAGATTGCGCGTGATAGCTACTTTTAAACAGCGACGGCACAAAAAGATGTCACTCGTCACACTAGTTCTGTAGAACAGCTTATGGCAGATAACACGAAGCAGATGGCTGGTCACAAACTTGCTTTCATGTTAAAGGCATTTAAGTTAATTCCTTATTTATTACATTTACTCTCCTCACCACATTCAGGGATCATTTTCATCTACTTATCATAAAAGGTACAGCAACTATGCCCGCCTATGAATATGGAAAGGCTCTTGCTGGCCTCCAACCATTCACAATAACAGTTCTACTGGATTAGCGTTTAATGTCCAAGAGTTCTATTTGGGGAAGGTACTTTTAAGTCTCAGAAAACAATGTTGCAAACATCCATAAAGATGTGACTTGCGTGTCCAGTCTACTGGGGGATGAATGTCAGTCTTGAGTGCCAAAGTGTGCGAGATGAGGTTGCTGTAACCTCCACCTGCCATGGTGGTATGTTGGAGTATTACTCCCTGTCCTTTATTTCACGTTGAAGTGTTAAAAAAAGTTAATAGTATTGATTGCCAGGTGTCATGTTATGTAGCGTCTTTCAAGATACCTAGAACTGCCATGATCATTAAAACTATAATAGTCTTCAAGATGTCGCAGGCATGGATAATGCTTTCAGCATATTGCCATTCCTTTGAGACTAGTGCTCTCAATTTTCTTTCAAAGCACATGACAGTTTCAAAGCACAAACTTGCTTCTTAGTATGTGAGTGTATTTGTTTGAACGGTTTTATTTGTGCTTTGTTCATAAGTGTTACATGCACCATTATGAGAATGACTGCCTTCTGTGTGTAAAGTGTGTCTGAGATATAAATGATGTCCGAAGAACAAGCTCCTGGATGCTTTGGGTATCAAGGCCAGCAATTGTGATTGGAGGCTGAATATCTCCCACAGCAGGCATATGCAAAAGCTCACATGGAGGATTTAAATGAAGACTTCAGTTGAAACCAGCTGGAGCATAGATTTTGGCTAACCTTTCAATTAAAACTATGCCATGTTTGGAATAATGCATCCTCATCAATGCAACAAGTGATGAAATTAATATGCATGCAAATCTACACCAATGTACACAAAAAAGTGGATAGTCTAGCATAGTCAAAGTGGCATGGGAGATTACCTTGCAACAATTTACATGTTCATTTCCTCTGTAAAGGAACAACTGATGTGCTAGTATTTCTTTAGTCGACAGGATGCAATGCTATTTTATCATTTGGTTTTGTAAATCTTTCCTTTGTGTACTTCCAGCAAATCGTGTAAAACTGAGGCCTGCTAAACCCTCATTACACAGCTTAGCTTGCCTCCCAAAAGCGGATGGCCCATGCAATGCCCTGGGCCACACAGCTAGTACAATGATAGCCCCGTAACTGGCATTTTTGTAAATATGTATCTCATGCCCTTGTTGTAAATATTGTGCTCTATTGTTTACCATATGGTCTACTAACATGTAGCATTGTTGTCTGGTAGAAAAATAAATTTATGGAGGAGCCAACACTGACTGTTGAATCGCTGTTTTCCCAAAATGTACACACAACCATAGCGAAATAAAAGTTACCTGTACATTTATTATATTTACAAATACCACCACAGATGGGTAGTCTCCTTGTACATCGCGAGCCATTGTAACTGCATGCATTCCGGAAGGATCCTTTTGAGTATACAACCTTTCTAGCAACCATAAATGAAGATGAGTATGAAAATGACATGTTCAAAAGAAAGCAGTGCAAAAGCTTAGCTGCAATTTAAACAGTGCCCCTTTTAGCATTGAAATTGCAGAATATAACACACATAAGAAGGTGTCTTAAAGTAAATTAGCCACAAATTCACCGATGGCTATCCTGTTCAACAGAGTCAAAATTCCATGTCCAAGGTGAAAATGACAGACATGAAAGATCAAATCCAACATGTTCATGGATGAACTGAACTAGTTCTCACTAAAACAAACACCAATCAAAGAGCAAAAACTGGGATTAATAACACACATGAAATGTAAATAAAATTATGTTGACAATATGAAAGCTGCATAGTATGGCACACTTAAGGCATACATAGAAAACACTAAATTGTGAAAATCAAGTTCTTTCATTTTTTTTTTTTTTGGTGATTGCCAACTTTTGCAAAATTTTAAGGCCTGTTCACACTCTTGCAACCGAATACAACTGAGAGAAAGGAGACCTGTTGAAACCTCTTCAAGTTTCTTAAGACGAGAGAACACACTGGCACTCTGGTGCCATCTATGCAGTGACCCTGGAACTGCATTTCACAAGAGCAAATGTTTTGCATGATTTCCGAGGTCAAATCTGTGTAATACCTATAAGAAAGGCTCGTTTATAACGTTGACAAAAGTTTTTCGAGCCAAGAAAGAAAGGATAATGCGAGAGAGAAATAAAACATATGCCGGACAGCCAAGTTTACACTGCTACCCAATAGATGGTGCCAGTGTGCCCTCTCGTTGTAAAAGGATTCAAGGCACCCAGTTCTAAGGGGTCGCGCGACAGTGTGAACGGGCCTTTACTTTTCAGTCTATTGGCCAAACACCAATTCAAGAATAAAAAAGTAACAAACCAATGACTTAAGGCTCAAATACAAAACCAAGGCAGAGTGCTTATTCAATATAACTATTATCGTTGGGGGATGAGAAATTTCATACTGATATTTAATATATCTATAAGAGACACTCCTAGAGCTGGCTTTGAGCACCATGGATAAAATTGAAAGATAAAAATTTATGCATGGCTAGATGACAGGAAATCACAAACTCCATGGCACCTTCAAATTGCATGACAGTCCTACATCACGCTATAGTTACATACACAAGAACACCACCACTTGTCAGAGCATTTCCTCTGCTAAAAATTGGCAAAATACCCCATGAATGAGAAAGAGGCATAAGAAGCCATGGCCTGAAATTGACAAGTGTAGTCTTCGAGAAGCACAGCACTTACGTCTTAACCATCAGTGTGCTATGCTTTGAAAATTGCAAGGCAAACTGGTTACAGGAATCCAACACTGATTGTAAATGCTATGCAAAGCTCTGCTGCAAAATCAAACAAAAATAAAAGATTTGTGTGCTTGCTGGCTTGAAATGCTGAAGAGGAAAAGAAGAACACAGAGAACAAACCATCCTCATTATGCTGAAGGACAAAGAGGAACTTACAAATGCTTATTCTTAGTGTAGAAAATTAAAAAGGCTACAATATGTCACAATGTTTAATTTAGGCTTCAAAGTAAAACGGATGTCTGCCTAAAAAAAAAAAAAAGAAATGCAGCGAGAAAAAGGCAATGCGTGATAAGAGAAGGACGTTCATGGGTACCGTAGTATGAAAAGCACCTTGTTTACTATAAACTATTCTCTCCAAAATATTGATAGAAACACTGAATCTATCGTTTGGCACTGTATGTTATGTTTGTGTAGACATTATCCAAAATGGATTAACATGACTAATAACCCGACATCACATACCTACACAGAATATATTACACAAGTTGAGGCATAAAAGGCAATTGTACTTTCTGATTCATATCGGCAGCATTAAAGCTGTCAAAACAAAAGCAACTTATTGGTGCAGGTCATGCCTTTGCATCAGAATATGAGAATAAAGTGGTACAATTAATAATAATCCAAATACTACACAGATTAGCCAGAAAGATTCAGGAAGTTTTTCTTTCTGGTGGTAAGAAGTAAAGCTAAAGGAGAGTAGCGTCCCCACTGCTTACGAAAGCAGATGATTAGGCTTAAAAGTCCTAAGTAGGACAGCTAGAATGAAAAGAGGACAAACACTTTCACAACCATGCTACATTAAAAAAAAAAAAAAAATCAGTCATATACACATGCACAAGATACCATGATTTTATCGAGGCTTGTGAAGCACATGTATATGCATGAGAAAGTTTTGACAAAAAGAAAAGTTGAACGCTAAAGCAGCCAACTTTCAAGGCTGTAAGTCAACTGAAAACAAAGTAAAAAATGTGCTTGAGCCTGAGAACACAGCAACTTATGCAAGTCGAGCATGTTGCCAAGGCACCAAAACAAGAAGAAATGCCAAGAAATGCAAGTATATACAAAGCCACACATCAAACAAGCCTAATGGGATGCCAAACACTGTTTTGCACTCTTTTAAAGGAGCCGCCTTGTAGGAAATCAGCCTACAAGATACATAAAGCTCGAAAGTATTTTCCTGTGTTTATGCTCACAATTTATGTATCTTGTGAAGTACGTTTTCATGCAAGGCAGCCTAAAGAAAGAAAAAGCAAGCAAGACAGAGATGAGGAACAAACAATAACTACAACAACAAACACCTCCAAGGTTCAGGGATCAGGTGGGGAATGTCCTAAGGGTGGCACAGACATCACACCATCTTGACTCCCTGGCAGCCGCTGTTGTGGACGAGCCTTGCTAGGGACTTCTTGACGCGGAGTGCCGTCAGCCGAGCACATGGGTTTGGATGCCAGCACTCCTGCATCAACTTCGACAAGACTTGCGTTGCCTGCACAAACAACAAGCACCCAAGGGTGATGCAAGATCCCTGCACCAGCAAGCAGTGGCAGCGAGCGAGAAGTGCCGCTGTCAGTGATGAGCGATGGCAGTAAAACAGGTCTTAAATTTTTCTTTAATGGTTAGTCTCAGATTCTCAAGGGTGCATATTTGCTGACCACCCATAAACAAAAAAAACCAGCGAAGTAGCATCTTTGCCAAGAGATGCAAAACCAGAAGCCAATCCTACAGGCCAAAAACACACCACCCAAAATGAAGCCTATGAATAAACGCCAATTGAAAACTGAAAAAAATATGTACCATGCTCCACAATGCACGGCGAAAAGACAAAGATAAATAGTGAAAGGAGACCAGTGTTGCCAATTTAGCAATATTCCAAATAATCTAGTGGTTTTCTCAGTTGTCTAGCAGGTGAAAATGTCATTTTGATGGCGGCAGAATTTTTGGCAGTTATCAAGTGCACTTAAAGGGGTAACCTGCCACGACTGACACTTGGAAAAGTATGAATATCGCAACTGAGTGCTTGAGAAAAGAGCACACTTTCACAACAGGATCGTGCACGTGCACACCTCGTGTATTCAAAAGGAAACAAATTTTGTAAATGTTGATATCTACATAGCAGTAAAATTTTAAGAATTAAACTCTGGCTGTTATGCAAGGGTATATGCTAGGCAGAGATGTCCTGACAATTTGCATTCACCATTTGCAATTCTTTTTTTTTTTTTTTTTTTTTTTTTAAATTCGGGATTGCTTAAAAGGTATTTGCACACAGCAAGATTTGTAAATACACTCAAATAGGCGTAGCTGGGCATCGCTATAGGTTTCATTTTATGTCAAACCTATCATTAACTTGACATCCCAAGGCGTCAAACTTTCTGAAGTCACAGTCCATAAATATTGTTACAGTAACATACCGGGCAAGTGCCCACTCAAAATTTAGAGATAATCGCGAAAAAATGGGGGATGGGTGCTTCTCCGGTCATCAATTTTACATACCTATGTACTGTGCATATTTTCTCAACCCTTAACAAATTTGGGTATGGGCACTTAGTAGGGATGTGCGAATAGTGAATTTTCACTTTAAAGCAAATACAAAGCGAATAATTAATTTCAACGAATAGTTTCGAATCAAAGCGAATAATTTCGAAGCGAAGCGAATATTTTGCATTTGCTAATTTAAAAGTGAGAAAATTTACAGAACAGAACTTGAATAATTTGCACATCGATATGGCTTAGCTAGCCGTGTTGTCTTCAACATGTTTTCAAGGCTACCGGAAAAACAGTCGGGCACAGATTCAAGGGAGCAAACTTTCCCCCAAGTTTATTGACACCTATGCATCACGTCGTAAGCTTTACTCTATATTGCTGTGGATAAACACCAACTGCTCCATGTGCTCTGGGAGGAGGAGCTCCCTCCTGCTTGTGACAACGTTCCCCGAAATTAGAAGAGCCTTTTGCTCGATACCTGCGTCGCGGGATCAAGAGGTAAAGCTGGGCAACCTTTGCCAGCAGGGGGTACTTGTCCTTCCGCAAACTCCTCCACCAGAGGTAGGGGTTCTCCGATCGGGGCCTTACGGGTGAGTAAAGGCACTCCTCTACCTCTTTTGATGGTCGTCGGGAGAAGAAGCTCGAGGTGCTGGTGGATGCCAGGGCACCAAAAATGTCCAACACATCACCGCCCTACAACTGCTCGGGCTTTGGCACAGAGCTCGTCGAAGTCTGGCGTTTCCTTCTTGGCATTCTCTATACACAGCTGCAGTGTGTGCGCAAAGCATTGCAGACTGGTCCATGTCGTTCGCAATACCGCACTCAGAATGTTCCTCGCTTTGTCAGTAACCATAAAGACTGGAATGTCTTGTGGCAGTCCCCATTCTGTAGCCAGATCAAGCAGGAGGCTCTTCAGGTTTTCAGACGTGTGGCCCTCGGGCATATGCCTGCACGCCAGGTTGTAGTTGCGGGGCTGGAAGTGTGCATCAAGTAAGTGGCACGTCATCAAAACATAACTGTCCCCCGTTTTCGACGTCCACCCGTCTGTCGTGAGGGCGTAACATGAAGATCCATTCTCGAAATGGTCGCACAACTCGCATTTGATGCGCTCTTTCTCTTTGGCACAAAGCTCTGGCACCACACCTCGGGAGAAGGTTGTCCTCGAAGGAACCTGGTACTCTGGCACGGCAGCGTTCATCAACGCCAGAAACCCCGGCTCCTCGACGATCGAGTACGAGTGTAGGCCTGTGGCAAGGAACAGCGCCGTTTTCTTTGTCAGTGTTTTCGCTCGCTGGCTGTCATTCTTCAGCTTTGGCTTGAATGGTACGGGAGTCGCAACACCACTGTCAGACTCTTTAGCTTCTGTTTTCTTCGCACTTTCAGAAGCACGCATCTGCTCAAACTCTTTAAATGGTCCGGGATGGCGCTTCAGGTGATTTACCAGAGTCGTAGTTGTACCCATCGGCGTCTTGAGGCACATCTTGCACGTGTGACATTTAGCACTGTTGGGTCCTCGATCAAAAAACTCCCAGATCGCGCTGCGGCAGATCGCCCGTTGAGTTTGGTGGCTTGGGTCGTCCATGACTTTTCCGGGAACGCACGGACAAGCTGCATTCACAGCTCGCTTAAAGCGAAAGTGACAGAAGTAGCGAACGGTAGCAAACGCGAGAGGAACAATAAAAGCAGGATCAGCAGAACCAAGGAGAACAAGGAAATGGTGGCTGGTATCGCTGGTATGGTGGCTAGAATGATGGGAATCATACATGCATACGTGTGGATACACGCCACAGTTGGAGTCAAGGCAGTCACGGGTTGTAGCCTGCGCCACCTAGAAGTCTACGCCGATATCGTTCATATTTGAAATTATGACTGTTTAGAGCATCATGATTTCGACTTTTGAATAACACTTCAAAACTGTGTCAGACTTAATTCCAAGAAAACAATTACGGTATTCGAGAGGTATCATAACTATCGAAATGAAGATATTTTCATTTTCAAATTGGAGAAACTATCGGTATCACCATCATTGTTTTCTACGCGGGGCGTAGGCGACGTGCAGCACGTGGGAAATTGGTTTAGGTGTACTCGGAGGCAAGAGGACAAAAATAAGTCAGGAGCTAGCTCTGGCAATCGTAGCACACGATCACACAGTTTTTGACGTGAATGTCATCTTTTGTGGCTCTCAAGAACACAGCCAAAGCTAAAACGAAACTAGTTCCCTCCGCTATCTTCGCTCGTTTGGTGGCCAGCCGGTTAGCCGGGATTGTTTTAGCGGCAGCTCAGACGCCTAAACCTGTTCCTTCCCGGAATGTTTGCTGCCACGATTCTTTCTGCGCGCCTCCCCCTGCATTCCGAAACAGTAAATGCCTCGCAAACGATGGTCGGCGGCAGCGGTCCCGCGGATAGGCGCCATTTTACCTCCGTTGGGGAAGTCCGTTCAGTTGAACTGAGGTGTCATTAGCGGCTCGATGAAAGTTGGAGCCGCCGTTTAACTCCGGCCGATCGCGATTGAGTCAACTGTCGTTGACTGAATGGCAGTTGAGAGCACTCGTGTAACTAGGGTGCTTACCTCTTTTCGAATAAGGTCGTGGTTTGCACCGTGTTCAAACTTCGAAATACTTCGAAAATGTTTGAAGTTTCCGAATAGTACTACAGTCGAACCTCGATATAACGAACTTCAATGTAACGAAATCCTCGATTTAACGAAGTATTTTATTTTTCATAATTTCTTGCCCATAGACCCCATGTATTTTTAGTCCCTATATAACGAAGTCTATTTTGCGGCTATTTCAATATAACGAAGCGCCATTGCCACATAAAGCAATAAATAAATCAACTCTAAAAAACAACTTCGCAAAAAAATTGTGGTAAAAAAAAAAAAAATTATGCGCAAACGCGAGCGCTTGATAGGTTACTTCACGGGGACAGGCCTTCCAACGTTCCTAGGCTGCCCAAGGATGCGGCGCCGGTAGCGCCGGCGAGGCATGCGGCAAAGCGGATTCCGCGAGGCTGGCCAGAAAATGCCGAGCAGAAAGTTAACACGGCATAACAGCATCACCACTGACATTCACTGATCATCATAGTCCACTGTACCGCGGGTAGCGCGGGAGCCAACTTCAGCAGGGGAGCGACGTGATGGCGCGACCGCGCGACCGCACGGGCAGTGCCGTCTAGGAGAAGACCGAAAAGACCGATTATCGTCATGCGAGCGTGATATAAAGCAAAGGCGCAAGCACACTGTGGGCGCAAGGGGGCAAGTAAACTGTGCGGTCAAGAGTGCTGTGTAGGTTGGAAACATTGGCACCGCCTAAACTAAACAGCTTTATTTTTTAACCGGGCGGTTCACTTACGTGCTTGCTGCCATAAGGAAACGTAAAGTTCTTTCTTTGGATGAGAAAGCAAACGTTTTGGACGCCATCCTGAAGAAACTGCCGAGATCACGAGCACTCGGGAAGTGCTTGACGCAAAGGACGTACTGAGGAGGTACACGGCGTCGCATGGGCAGCTAGATGCCGTGCAAACGCTCTGGGCGCTCGAACGCCGTATGACGTATGACGCCGCCGACGCCGCCGACGCCGCTGCTACTGTCGGACAAGGCGCAAGCAAAACTCGCGGACTACTTTGCCCCTAAATAAATGTCATTTTCGGTGAGTTTTCATACCCGTAAAATGTTTCGGAATTTTTTTTTTTTTTTTTCGCATGCTAAAGCCAAATTTTGATTTAGCGAAATTTCAATGTAACGAAGTAAATTGCGAATTTTACCAACTTCGTTACATCGAGGTTCAACTGTATTCGATTCGAAGTCCGAATCGAATATGGCATTATTCGCTTCGATATTCGAAGCTTTCGAATATTCGCACAACCCTAGCGCTTAGTGTGGTATGGGCGGATGCACGGTATTTTACAGTAGATTAAAATTAGCTTATAAATGGAAAAATGGAAGCTTGGGAACAACCTTCATGAGTTTAGCTTGGTTTTCCTTTAAGCATGGTGCAACAGTAGGAA